ATCTACACTGTATAATTAATGCAGTTGGCCACCACCATAACTGCCATGGCACAATGCTATAGAACCCTGGGATTTATAGTCTGATGAGGCACTAGCACTTTTAGGCAGAGATTTAGGAAAATCGCATTTATAACCTTTTGGAAAACACCTTTTAGAGATCATAAATTTTTAGAAAAGCATGACCTTTCAGAGAAAAGACAAAAACCCTTTAGAGTAGAATCTTTTCTTGTGACATACAACCAGGCATAACTATGCAAGGCAATGGTTTCAGTGGTTAGACTGAATAACCATTATCTCTGATCTGTTTGGAAAACAGATTTTGCCAGTGCAGAAAAAAAAACAGTGCTTCAGAATTGTTTTTCAGTGCCCAAAAATATATTATCTCCCATAAAACATCTTTTTTATATCATGCACTCAAGAGACATAAATGAAGTAGACTTTGATAAAAAAAAATAACATATTTGGTTTACTCACAACCTTCATGTGTTCAGCATACACTGGTACAAAACTTATCAGTCCACTTTCAGATATGTTTGAGATAATTCTCTGTGCTATCCAACCAGGAAATCTTTTACAGCAAAACAGCAAGTGTGTGCTCTAAAATATGAAGTATTCTGAAGTGATCATGTGGTCTGCAGCCCCTTCTCAGGACCATAGAGTAAAGGAAGCTGTATAACAGATCATACATACAAACAGTAAGCAACATTACTAGAGAATGCTTGAAGAAGGTTGTCATTTCCAACAAGAGAAGGTTAAAGACCTTATAAAACTATCATGATTCCATAGCACTGAGCTATGACAATTAAAGTGGTTAATTTTACAGTGTAGAGGTGTACTCTGAGAGTTTTATCGTGCTCCCAGACTTCACACAATATCAGAAGCAGTTTTGCTGTCCAAAAGATCCTCCACAAAAATAGGTCATAAGGTAAAGCAGTAAGTTTGTTGGGGAGAGGGGGTGAGTATTCTGCAGGTTGTAAACATAGTTAATCTCTGGATGCCACCTTCTGGTGAGGAAAAAATATAATGTTATAATGCATTATGAAGCTTGCACACCAATGGTATGGAAAGGAACAACAAGGGTGTCTTATTTTAACCACGGACAGTGTAAAAATTTAAAATTCAGAAACTTATCTAGCAACCCTACAAAACACACTAGTAGGGATGTCATGATAACAAAAGGTGGTAACAGCATTGATGCATTCGTAGCATTTCTGTTTGTGATATAGTGAAACACATAAACCAGGAAGCAACTGCAATTGAGGCAAATTTATGTTGTTTTCTTCTCTTTATCACAAAAAGGAATGCTGAGAATGATTGCATTTTCAAGTAAGGTTGTATATTGTAAGGTAGGAATGAAGACAGTCATTATAATTATAATTTTTAAAAACCTGCAAAATTTGTTTGCTACTTGTAGTAACAGTATAAAAGAAAGTACATTAAGACAGATGTTGGTGTGCCAATTCAAGGATCATCCTTTTCTTGCCTTATTGTAATGTCTGTAATGTGTTTACAAATTGTCACTCACAAAGGAGGAAGGAAGAGAAATGCAATTTTATATAGGATGAACAACCCTTCTTGAATTACAGGGAGCCTATAAAGGGGCTGCACCCTTACCCCATTTAAGAATACAAGATGGCATGATTTGATTACACTTACATGGTAAGGTCTTTGGAATGAAATAATAATAATAATTCAGGCACTAACGCAAAGCACACCTCTTAGCAACAATGAGAATTCCATGGTTTCTGCTTCCCAGTGTGAATCTGACATATTCCAGGAAATGTAATTCAACCAGATTCAACCTTTCGCTGTTTAAGAAAATTTGCACGTGTTATTGTCACATTCATTTTCTGCAGTTTCAGTTACCCATGGTCATCTCTGACAAGAAAATGGAAGTTTTTGTGGGCCTCTCTCAATCCTCCAGTGCAATTCTATGGTACGCTTGGATCAGAAATTGATCTCCTATTTTCTGCTTGTTTTGCAAGCTTCTGTTGAAGAAGTGAGGACAGTAAAGTTGGGAGCAGATTGCTTTCTTCCCACTTTCTGGGGGAGCAGGTGAAGGGGGGGGGGGTTCCTCCTGGATACAAGAAACATTGTTCCACCACTATCCCTTTAGTAATGCATTAGGTTTAAGTAGTTAACTATGATATGAAAATATAGAGTTCAGTATTATCTAGGGATGTGCACGATACCGTTTTATGATACCAGGTTCTGCTTCCCAGTGTGAATCTGACATATGAGTTGTTGTAGGTTTTTGTCAACCTGGCAACCGGACTCCTTGAAATGGGGTGAGGGGAGCTGAAGGTCGGCCATTACAGACCACGCAGTGGCCAAACTCGGGCTGTATCTGGCTGCCATGTGAGAAGAGCAGCCACGCAGGGTGGTTCTCTATTAGTCTTGCCAGAGTCAAGAATAAGAAGAAACCAAATCATGTGTCTTTTTGCAAAGCTGGCCTATATACACCAGGGCAAGCTCTTCCATTTTTCTGTGGCATCCTGGCATTTGAGAGAGAGAAAGAGAGATCGTGTGCTAGCTAGCTCCGTGTTTTGTCTCAGTGCTGTCGCTGCTTCTTAGTGTTTAGAGGATCGCTTTTTGAGAATTCCAACCTTCTGCATTAAATTTTCTTAGTTAATATCTTTCTTATAGTCCTTTTATTTTACTAATTTTGCTAGGGAGGAGTGGGTGGAGTTGCTGCCATGTTTACCCCAAGCTTTCAATTAAAACAGAAAACAACAACCTACATGGGTAAAATTTCACGAGACTAGTTGGCTTACACTGCTGTAGGCAAACAATGCATTTGTAGTCCTGAAGTATGTTAATGGAAGGAAATAGTTTATAGTATAAACTTGAATATACACAATGGGAAATAAATGTTTGGCCCATTTGGTAATACACTCATTAACCATGTTGAGGTTTTCACAGTGTTCCATGATAGCTGGATGCTGCTGGAAAAGGGAATAAGGAAAGAAGCAATGAGACAGTATCTATGTTACCTGAATACAGAATTTATTTCAAAAACATAAGTACATTTGTAGTCTTCGGCTTGGGCCAGTATGATTTGCCCAAAGGTATTAAAAAGGGAACATTAGGGAAAACATACAAGAACAAATATTGAAATCTTGGTGAATGTGTGTGAATAGCAAGTAAGGGGATTGTTGGGTAACAGAAGTTAGGTACATGTCAGAAAAACAACCAGAGTGGAAGAAGTAGTGAAAAATCAACTGAGATATCACCGAAGATTAAAAACAGATTGGCATTGTACTGTATATGAAGCTAAATCAAACCAACTATCCTATTAAATTCATGCTGGTTTTGGATCCACAATTCCTGGTTTTTGTATGCTTTTTTGTTGTTTAAAAGTTGTTTAAACAAGTTTAAATTAATGCATCTTCATGATATAACAGCAGTCCTGTATCTAAAGATCTTGTCAACAAACATACAAAACTTTTTAAAAACCCAAATACAGGTAAGTGCTTGGAGAGTCAGAAAGGTGTAAGGTAGACCTTAATTAGAAAGAAAAATCTGAGTTGAAGATATTACTTATTTTCAAGGCGATGATGTTAGAGAAAAACCCTGCTCTTTGAGGAGAGTTTGCTGTGTACTGGAAGATAATATTTCATACTGGGACATCAGAACCGCATATATTATTCCAATGACCGGAATATACTTGTACTGGATAGCAATCACTTTTACCTACAAATTTCCAAAAAGTAATGAGATTCCGGAGCCAAAGGACCAAATAAACCCATTCAAATGCCATTAGCTATAGTATACATGGCCTATTAGTTATGCACTTTACCAGAAAAGAGAAAAATATAAAAAAGAGACACTCTGAATGCAGAGTTACAAAGCATGAAGCAATTATTTAAAGTAGGCAGTATTCACAGTTGCTAGGTTTCAATAACCATATCAATGCTTTTTATTATTAGGAAGGCAGAATCAGAATTAGTGCCAACAATGTGTAAGTAAACCCGTGCCCTGATTCAGCCATTCTAGTTAATATGTGAAAGGGATTTTGCACATGTGAAATAGATGATCTACATAATAAAGACTTCATAAGATTTTACTCCATTCAAAACAGTAGCATACAATCGACTGCTTTTGTCTCTATACATAGAAACTCATAAAAGGATCTTGCCAGGAACAGCACTATGTTCATTCATACAACTAATCAAATGTATTTTCAGAAGTACAAGACGGTATGTATGGAAATAGGCACAACAATGTGAAATATGGATAGCTGGTTTATTCTTCTTGGTCTTAATATAGATGTTTTACATCTGCATCAAAGTACTACATCCACTGCTAACTGCAGCTGTACTCCTTTATGAAGGAATACCCTTATCTCTGAAACCAGCACACGACAAGCTGCAGTCTACAAACTTCTTATTCTGATGTTGTTTGCAGCTGACCTTATGATTTACTACAAATGAATATGAAATTGCAAAATAAATTGCACACTGGTAGTAGCATGAGAAATCTGTGGTGGAATTCTTTCACTCCATAAGTAGTGGAATTCTGAGAACAATTTTGAAATGGAAAGAAATAATGCAGAAAAACAACATTTTAATTAAAGATAGTTTTCTCTTCCTTTCCTCCTCCCTCTCTCTCACACACACATACAGACACACAAGCAGGGGGATGAATGCAGCATCTCACATTTGTAGAGCATTCAGCTTATTTTTGATGATTTTTCCAAAAGCTTCTTTGACATCCTTATTCCTCAAGCTGTAGATCAGGGGGTTGAGCATGGGAATCACCACAGTGTAGAACACAGAGGCCCATTTGTCTTGATCCAGAGAATAAACAGAAGAGGGTCGCAGATACACAAAAATTGCAGTGCCATAGAACAAGGTGACGACAATAAAATGGGATCCACAGGTAGAGAAGGCCTTGAGTCTCCCAGAGGCAGAGTTCATTCTGAGGACAGCTGCTAGGATGAAGATGTAAGACACAAGAATGATTGAAAGAGAGCTCATCCCAACAAAGCCAGCAAATACAAAAAGAAGGAACTCATTGACATATGTGTCAGAGCAAGAAATTGCCAAGAGTGGAGGAACATCGCAGAAGAAATGATTGATGAGATTACAGCTGCAGAACCATAAGTTGAAGGTAGCTGTTGTGTGTATAATGGCATTAGTTGTGCCAGCAATATATGATCCAAATAAGAGCCGGATGCAGAGAGACTTAGACATAGCAGAGGAATAGCACAGTGGTTTGCAAATGGCCACATAACGGTCATAGGCCATCACTGCCAAAATGTAGCACTCCACATCTACAAAGACAGCAAAGAAGTAAAGCTGAGTAATGCAACCAGGGAAAGAAATGGTTCTGCGATCAGATAACAAGTCAGACAACATTCTGGGGGTGATAGCAGATGAGTAGCAGATATCGCAGAAGGACAAGTGCCACAGGAAGAGATACATTGGGTTGTGAAGTTGAGCACTGAATGAAATCAGAAGAATCATGCCCAGGTTCCCCACAAAATCAATCAGATAGACAATTAGGAATCCTACAAAAAGTAGTATCCGCACATGTGGATTATTTGCGATGCCTAGAAGGATGAATTCAGTGACAGCGGTAGTGTTTCTTTCGAACATTTTCAGAAAAAATTAAGATACACTGAAGAGATGTAAAAAGCAACTTCTGTGATCCATGGATTTGGGAGGCAGGGTTGTTTTCAGCAAATTAACAATGGCAGATTCCCTCTTCTTAACACTTTAAGTGTTTTGGGATATATAAATCTATGAAATAGTTGCTAAGTCCTCAATTATTCTAGAAGGCTGATCATGTCAGAAGTTCACCTTACCCTGGTTATTTCTCAAGACTTTTCAATATCCAGAACAGCCAAAGAAGCTTTCTTTTCCTCTTTCCCTTGTACGGGTGACAGATGGAAACTCCAAGGTTTTGTCCACGGAGTGTGCAAGCATTCTGCAGATACAAGCAACCTTCTGAGTGTCTTTAGATTCTCAGTTACAATAGGTACTGTTTATTAGGCACTGCATATTAATGATGTAGTTATCATGAAGTAGGAGATGCAGAGGCTAAAAGGTTTGGCCACCCAAGGGATCTCTGATTCCCTTATCAGAAGATTCATGTTTTGCATATAGATTGTTTTGAGTGATATACTTTTCCATTAAATTGCCTTTCGAGGTCTTTTCGTCATTGTTTTTCCTTCTTAATTGGCCTTCATAATCCCTATGCAAGAAAGTAGATGACATTGGCTTTTTTCATGGATTTTCTATGACATTTAACTATCTTAGCTATTTTTTGTCAGAAAATGGTTAACAGATGGAGATATATGGAGAATAACTTAGTGGTACATTTTTTCTATGCAAATGGTCCCACATCTTCTCAGATGACAAGAAGATGCTGTCTGGGGAGAGTGAGAAATGTAGTCTAATATAGTTTGAGGGAACCAAGTCTGGGGAAATAGGGCTAGAAAGTGAGTGGACTGGATCCTGAGCCCTATTAGAAAGGAGCTGGCAGTTTAACACAAGGATGTGAAATATTGTCGATGAAGGGATTGCTGTGCGGTTGGCAGCTGCAATAAATAGGGCTGGTGAATATAGGTGCAACATAGGTGCTTATGTCCCTTCCTGATTGTCCACTCTATTCTAAACAGTTACAGAATTTGCTATATGACAGTACAAAATCATTTGGAAGTTGATGAATAAAGGCACACATGGAATTGATTTTTAGTTCAGCATCAACTAAGAGCCTAGCAACTAAAAAAAAGGAAGGACTGGATTACCATCAGTGAGAAATTGTTGCATTGTTCTAAATCCAACACTAATCTCAGCTGATTGCTAACTTCAGTTGCTGATTCTGTTGAATCCATGATATTTGCCAAAGGGTTGATTTTCTATTTACTAATGAGGTCAATAGGGCTATTTTAGTTGGAACTAGCAACTGGAATTAGAACATCAAATATGGTCAATGATTACATTAAACATGTTTAATGCTAACTGCATCAGCTGATATTCTGTTAATGAATTACGATGTTGTAAAACTGCTTTACAGCATTGTAACTCCCCTTTTCAGTCGTTGTATAGGTTTTGGGCATACAATGACAAATCCACCCAACCCACCTTGCAAGCCAGTTAGCCTCCTATTGGAAATTCCATAACCTATTGGAAATAAGTGCACCATAACCTTATTGAAAAAGGTAAAAATGATGTCACATCCATTTGGCAAATGTGAATCTCCATGAACACGTGGAGACCACCTTTTGAAAGCCACTAGTTCAGAAAAGTCAATTCTTTGAACAAGTTATATTCATAGGCATTCATGTAATGGCACATAGATAACTCAGCTGTTAAACTGAGAACTATGTTGTTAAACTGCCAAGGATAAAGACATGCCACTACAAAAATATATTTGGTTAGCAGAAGATGGTTGTCTCTTTTGCCCACCTGCTCTCCCTTAAAAACCTCTTTTTAAAAATATCCACTCAAGAGACAAAAACAAAGTAGCCTTCTATAAAAATAACATCTCAGGTTTACTAACAAACTTCTTGTATATAATCAGCATACTTTTCCACAGTACAATGTCTTTAAGTATATAGATATAGTCCAAACTGTATAACTGTACTCCCTGAAGTTTGATAGTCATACTTCTCTATTAAAGTCCAAACAGCAACATGCATCCACCTCCACTGAGGTCTGATGCAAACTGAATACAAAATGGAGTCTTGTGTCTAAAACCCCTCCCACAACAAAGATGTACAGTCAAACTGGCAAACCAAAAAGTACATACAATATAGGTTAACTTGGAAGGCTTGGAAGGTTGCTATTTCCAACATTTCTCCCTTATTCAGCATAGCCTTTTTCAGTTATTGAAAAAGGGTAAGTGTATCAGTGCAGTAAATGCAGCTATTTCGCTTTAGGTGAGCATACTGCACTGAATGGACATCCCAAGACCCCTCAAGGCTCCTACCTATGCCTCTGTTGGGACTCAGCCTGTGATTGAACCTGTGAATGTGTTTCAGTCTTCGGATGTTTCTGTGTCTGATGTGGGTAATGAGGAGAGAAATCAGTTCCCTGTTGCTTCTGATGTGGGGAATGCTGGGACTGACTCTGAGGTGCAAGATGGATACACTGACAGAGAGGTTTTGGTGCAAAGGGCAGATTCTCATGAGAATGTTTCTGTCAGGCTTTGGGAGAAAGGTTTACTCCCTCCGTCTGTGAGCTCTCCAGATTCTAGTTTGGAAAACAGTCTGACACCTGCTAAAGTTAATGAGGAGTCAGATAAGCAGAGTCGGTGGCTGGAGATTAGCCAGAATTGACAAGAGGCCCAATGTTTACATAGATCCGAAAGAATTCGTCAATTAAAGTCAAAGACTGGGGGAAAACAAAACCAGTTTTTGGGATTTAAGGTTTGCCTATAGAAAATCTTGTCAGATCAGGCATCGTTTGGAAACCAAGTTCTTGTGCTATGGAAGTCTTGTTCAAGGGATCTTGTTTATGTGGAGTTTTTTAGCCTTTTGGATTGTTTTTGCATCCTGCTTGATTCCTGTCTGGATTAATGCTGCTTTGGATTCCCTGTATTTCTTGTGTGGACATTGCTTTTGGTTTCTACTGCTTATGGACTAATACTTTTTGGAACCTTCTGATTTTCTTACAAGCATTTATTTCTACTGGCTAATTACTAAGCTTTAATAAAAGAAGATTTGATTCTTCACTCTTCGTGTGGTGTGTTTTAAGTCAGAGGGCTGCTTCTGGACCTGGAGTGCAACAGCCTCTTGCAACAAATGCAGCTGGATGCATCACCACTGAACTGGAGGAGTATGTCCTCCCATGCAGGATCTCGGCCATTAATTCATTTAATCAGTTCTGAGAAGCAAGAATAAATTGTGTCAGTTTGTGACTGAGAACAAACTCAGTCTGTACTTTCAAACTTCTTACTCGGACAAGGGGTGCATCTGCACTCTAGATTTAATACATGACTCAATGCTATAGGATCGTGGGAGCTGTAATTTTTTCAACTCTGCCAAAGAGGACTAGTGCCTTATCAAACTAAAACTCCCTGGATTCCATAACATTGAACCACAGCAATTACAATACTGTCAATCTGCATGAATTCTGCAGTGCACCTCTGGAGACTTTTCAGCTCTGAGCAGCTGTCTCTTTCGAACTATGGGGAGCTCAGAAACATCCCACTATTCACTTTTGTAGAAGTATCCCACTTGAAGAGAAGTATATTTTGTGCAAAATATGTGGGTGTTTTTTTTTAAAAAAATCCATCTGTATGTGTCTATTATTCTTACTATCTGTAATAACACAAAGAATGTGCAATTTTATAGAACTGTAAATAGCATCCATAAATTAAATCCCTCAATCTGTTTATTTGGATGCTTGAATTTGTGACTGTTGAGCGATAAGCTATCAACATATTCATGCATTCAAAATGATAATGCAATCTTCACTTTCAGATCATAGCCATTAAAGAATAGAACTAGCTTGTGTTTTGTTTGCCAACTGTATAATTATATCAAATAATACAACAGGAAATAGGAGGTGAGATAAGATGAGTGAATTCTCTGCAATATATTATTTCTCAAAGGATATGAAGAAGACAGGCCTGCAGATCCATGAGAGAAATAGAATTTAATCCCATGTATTCTTCTCTCTGGCAAAACAGAGTCCCACAGGAGCCATCCCACGATGCTCGGCCATGTGAAAATCCATGTCACCGGCGTGTTAAAATGGAGAAAAAACTACATTTTCAGGAATCAGGTGCTACATGACTCCTGACTCAATAAGCAAGGAGGAAGTGGGGAAAGGACAGAAAAGGGCGTGTGGTGGCCGACCATCCCAGAAGATGGGGAAAGGCAGTAGGAAACAAATTAAGATGGTTCCTTCCATTTACCCCAGCTTTACAATTGTCAGTGTGATTATATTTTAATATTTAATAATATTTCAATATTACAAAAAAAAAACCTGTGATGGAGAGTTCTAGAGCATGCAAAAACTTTTTGACATCCTTTTCTGATTGCTATTACTTCAAATTGGTACTGGCAAGATCAGCACACTTTGCGATAAGAAATGCCAATGTTATTAAAAATTGATGCAAATCTTCCAAAATGTGTCAAAAAGTTGTGCATGTATCTGTATGTGGGTTATATTGAATATACAAATGTTACTGAGAGTTCCCTGAGAGTTTTAGTCATGGAATTTTAAATGCAAATCCAGACTTTTTGCTACTCTGCTGAACCTCTTTTTATACATCTGTTTGAGTTTTGAAGTATTTCCTACACCCAATAAAATCCCATTATAAGGAAGATTATAGAAATTCCTAACTCAGACCAACAGTGGGACCCACAGCTTCAGAAGCAATGCTATAGAGCACACTCTAATTATCCACTTTTGTATTGAAAGATCCTTGGATATATTTCATTAATTCAAATTCTAATTAAGATTGCTCTAAGATATTTTGTCAATCTTTCATTTTCAAATACTGAAATGAAAAATAATGCTTTTCTGGCATTTTCCTTAACCAATTTAGTACTCCCCTCCCCAGAAACTATCAACTAATAAATATCCATATAGGTATTTACATGAGAGAGTATTTGTGACAACCAGTGACAGTGGGAGACAGTAGAGTGTGGAGTGCTAAGGCATGTATCCTTTATTACAGGTATGGGCAAACTTTGGCCCTCCCAGCAGGTGTTTTGGACTTCATCTCCCATAATTCCTAACAGCCTACTGGTCCTTCAAAACACCTGGAGATCTGAAGTTTGCCCATGTCTGCCTTATTAGGACCCCCCCCCCAAACATTCTCAGATGGCCCCGTATAATGATCATTAGTTTGAGAAACGTACAATTAAAATGAAAGAAGTTATATAGCGTGCTGCCTTATATTCATGCATAATAGTCATTTCAGTCCTTCATGWACCACCCCAAATAATATAGTATGCAAAGAGATTTCTGACTTGCATGATAAGTTTTATTAAGAAAAATGCATAATGCCATTTTTACTACTAATAAATACAACATGGCACCAATTTTTGTTTTACGAAAGACATTTTAGTTGAAAAGGTACAAAAATGCAAACACACAATTATATATTTATGTTCCTCTGCATTTCATGTTTAGTTTCTTCAGGGCATCTTTTATCTCCTTGTTCCTAAGGCTGTAGATGAGAGGATTTAGCATAGGGAACACTACTGTATAGAAAGTAGACACCACTTTGTTCCTCTCCAAAGTGTAGCTGGAATTTGAACGGGAGTAAATGAAGAGGATGGAGCCATAGTATAAAGTGACAGCACTCAGGTGAGCTGCACAGGTGGAAAAGGCTTTCTGCCTCCCTTTAGTGGACCGGATTCTCAAGATAGCTGCTAGGATGAAGACATAGGAGGCCACTATCAGTGCTGAGGGGCTGATTACATTCAAGACCAGGATAAAGTACAAAACAGACTGATAGCTCCTGGGAACATTACAGGCTAACTTGACTAATGGTGGTAAGTCACAGAAGAAGTCATCAATGACCTTCCCATCACAGAAACTCAAGGTGAATGTTTCAGTAGTTATTATTATGGCATTTGTGAAACCAGACAGATAGGAAAGGGTCACCAAGCCCGTGCAGACCTTGTTGGACATAGCTGTGGTATATTGTAGTGGTTTGGCAATGGCTATATAACGGTCATAAGCCATAGCTGCAAGAAGGTAGCATTCGCTATATGCGAAACCAGCTGAGAAGAAGAACTGGGCAGCACAACCTCCAAAGGAAATGCTCTTGTTGTCAGAGATACAGTTCATGATTATCTTTGGTGTATACACTGAGGAATACCAGAGGTCCAGGAAGGACAGGTTCCCAATGAAGAAATACATGGGGGTATGGAGATGAGAGCTGCTGTAGATTAGTGCAATTAATGTGATGTTCCCAACCAGGCTGAGGAGATATATATTTAAAAATACTACAAACAAGATGAGTTGTAGTTGGGGGTTTGTTGTAAATCCCAGAAGGATGAAGTCAGTTACTACTGTGCGATTTCTTTCTTCCATTGGACTATGAATAAGCAGCTGCGAAAGAATTAGAAGACATATATTGCAGAATCAGAGTGGATTCAGCTCTCTGTCAGCTATAATCTGAGTATTTTTAGCCAAAAGAATTAAGCATAATCCATAGCAACAGTGAAAAGAGACCTTCCCATTTCTCATGAGAGTTTCATTGTGGTCTGATTGTATGATTAGATCCAGTGTTGAGGGGCCTCTCAGGAAAGTACTAACTTGTGGCTCTCCTCCTTTTTCTTGGCTCCTTCTCTGTGAGCTTACCAATAACAAGAGATTAAAAGTTGACATTTTAGTTCTTCATAATACACCACAGCACCCAGTGTAACAACACCTCATTATTATGTGGAGAGTTTAAAATGATAGCTTCTCACAACATTTGATGCAAGAAATAATCTGCTTGGTTACTGGTTGGTCTCATTTGGTTTGGGAAATTAAACTTATATGAAATAGAGCAGCACGTACAAGTGAAAATAGCAGATGTACTAATTTTGTAGAGAGTTTTATTGTACTGTAACCTTATTTTAGTTACATAGAGTGGAAAGTGATTAACCTAATCCCATTGATTAGTCCCAAACAGAGTAAACTTGTAGAATCAGCTGTCAAAATGTGAGTTGATATTTAGGTCAATCCCATTGATTCATGGGTCTACTCTAGTCAGAAATTACAAGTAGGATTTAGGCAACTGTTTCTGCTACCTGAACAGTATATTGGCCGAGATCTTATTTTATGTTGGTGGAGTGTAAACTTCTACCAGAGTACTTAAAGAGGAGGGCCAACCAGCACACTTTCTGGTCAATTAGTGTCTATTTCAGCTAAGAATGCAAGGAGACTATTTGCAGGGCCGGCCCTAGGTAATTTTCAATGGTAAGCAAACATTATTTTGGCGCCCCCTCCCCCCAACCAATCACTGAAAAATAAAACGTAGAAGGTAGAGGTGAATAAAAGAGTTACCTTACAAACCAGAAATTTACTTACAACATTATGTTTATATAGTTACATTACACAAATTAACTTTTTTAAGAATGCAAATATTTTACTAAACTTAGCAACAATTTTAAGTTTTTGTTGTTATTTTTGGTCTACAAGTACTACACAAAGGTTTCCTGGTCATGCTGTCTCTTCAGAGAAGATTTTTCAGACTAGGGGTTTGCTAATAACAGAGAACTCAATCCCATGCTTGTTGGGTCTGTCAAACAGATTTGTTTTGGAGAACGCAGCCCCAGGAGAATAGACACCTCCTTTTTAAGAAAGTGAACTCTTGTCCTTCAAAAGTGCCATGCCAGCCTGGACCATTACAATGGGTGTGGCAACATAGTCAGCCTCTGGCCCCTTCACTTTAGTGGATACTTTAACATCCAGTTTTCCTTAACACAAATAAACTTGAACACTTTTAAAATTAAAAAGAGATTTTTCTGGCTTTCAATTTTGAAAACTCGTGTACTATTATATCTGTTTCCATTTCATCCAACAAGCCATTTTCAATGGCCAAGGTTGCTAGTCCACTCAAGCGCTCTTGACTCAAAGTTGATCTTAAATACGTTTTTATAAGTTTTCTAAGATCTACAGAGACACTCGCTGGAACACCTCAGCAAGCGAGAGTCCAAAAGGGCAGGCTCAAACCCAGCACCTCAACCCATGGCTGATACCAAATGAGAGACTCCCCCCTGGGCACACAGAAGACTGGGCGACTTGGAAATGGAAAGGAATCACACAGGATCATATTTTTGCAGTCCATTAAGTTTGTTGATGACAAATCAGATAAAGGAATACTGGGGAAATTAATATAAAGCAGTGTGTATAAAGGGACATTACATTTGGTAATCTAATGCAGGCTTTAAAAGGTTTTAAAGATAAAGTCAGGGCTTTGGTTTTTAGTTTGAATGTGAATTTATTGATTTTAACTGAATTTTTAGATACCCATGATATTTAATTCTATTTTAATGTTTGCATATTTGTGGATTTTAAACTGTACTGAAATGTTTTTAATCTAAGCCAACTTGAGTCTTCTTGGGGAGAGAAAAAGCAGGGTATAAATAAACATAATAATGTGTTGTGGAAGGCTTTCATGGCCAGAATCACTGAGTTGCTGTGAGTTTTCTGGGCTGTATGGCCATGTTCCAGAAGCATTCTCTCCTGACCTTTTCCCCACATCTATGGCAGGCAACCTCAGAGGAACAAAATCTGGCTACCAGTACCCTCTAAAATAACCCTCTAAAATCAGAACAATAAATAAAGAGCAACACTAAAAAAGGGGGGAATTCCTGACATGAAGCAATCAGGGCCAGTTAACCGCTCCCAACAAAGGATTCCTGGGCAGCAACTAGCTCGGCTTCGAATCTGCAAGGCCATTAAATACTCATCAAGATGACCAATTGCAACATTCACACTTACCTCAAGCAGACATGAGTTCTTTTTCCCACCCTGGACATTCCACAGATATACAAACCCCACTTGCCTAGTTACAAACAGACCGCACAGCCTCTTGAGGATGCCTGCCATAGATGTGGGTGAAACATCAGGTGAGAATGCTTCACCAAGCACCAAAGAGCATTCTGAACTCCACCAATACAATAGAATTGAACCAAACTTGGCATACAGGACTTCCATGACTAAAAGAAAATACTGGAGAGGGGGTTGGGAAAAATAGACCCTGACATTTGGGAATTGCAGTTTACCAAGCACCAAAGAACATTCTGAGCTCCACCAACAATAGAATTGAACCAAACTTGGCATACAGGACTTCCATGACTAACAGAAAATACTGGAGAGGGGGTTGGGAAAAATAGACCCTGACATGTGGGAATTGCAGTTTACCAAGCACCAAAGAACATTCTGAGCTCCACCAACAATAGAATTGAACCAAACTTGGCATACAGGACTTCCATGACTAACAGAAAATACTGGAGAGGGGGTTGGGAAAATAGACCCTGACATTTGGGAATTGCAGTTTACCAAGCACCAAAGAACATTCTGAGCTCCACCAACAATAGAATTGAACCAAACTTGGCATACAGGACTTCCATGACTAACAGAAAATACTGGAGAGGGGGTTGGTAAAAATAGACCCTGACATTTGGGAATTGCAGTTTACCAAGCACCAAAGAACATTCTGAGCTCCAGCAACAATAGAATTGAACCAAACTTGGCATACAGGACTTCCATGACTAACAGAAAATACTGGAGAGGGGGTTGGGAAAAATAGACCCTGACATTTGGGAATTGCAGTTTACCAAGCCCCAAAGAACATTCTGAGCTCCACCAACAATAGAATTGAACCAAACTTGGCATACAGGACTTCCATGACTAACAGAAAATACTGGAGAGGGGGTTTGGAAAAATAGACCCTGACATTTGGGAATTGCAGTTTACCAAGCACCAAAGAACATTCTGAGCTCCACCAACAATAGAATTGAACCAAACTTGGCATACAGGACTTCCATGACTAACAGAAAATACTGGAGAGGGGGTTGGGAAAAATAGACCCTGACATTTGGGAATTGCAGTTTACCAAGCACCAAAGGACATTCTGAGCTCCACCAACAATAGAATTGAACCAAACTTGGCATACAGAACTTCCATGACTAACAGAAAATACTGGAGAGGGGGTTGGGAAAAATAGACCCTGACATTTGGGAATTGCAGTTTACCAAGCACCAAAGAACATTCTGAGCTCCACCAACAATAGAATTGAACCAAACTTGGCATACAGGACTTCCATGACTAACAGAAAATATGGAGAGGGGGTTGGGAAAAATAGACCCTGACATTTGGGAATTGCAGTTTACCAAGCACCAAAGAACATTCTGAGCTCCACCAACAATAGAATTGAACCAAACTTGGCATATAGGACTTCCATTACCAAATACTAGAGGGGTTTGGGGGAGGCATGTACAAAAGATGACATTTGCAGTACCTTTTGACGAGGCCTCCTTGCTGCCCTGAGAGGGGTCCAGACTCAGCTGCAGGGAAGGAAAGGGAAAGCGAAAGAGCCTGGCTGGCTGCCTCCTGGCAGCACGTGGAGGGAGGACTTCCCTCTCGCCTAGTGGGCGGGGCCTGCGCTTCTCCATTAGAAGGCTGTTGAGGGCGCATGGGGCCTCCAGGAGGAGGCGTGGCCTAAGGACAAAACAGCGCCCCCTGGCAAAAAAAGTATTCCGCGACCGCTTACTTCGAGTAATGGACGGGCCGGCCCTGACTATTTGACAGTCATTGTGTAGCTGGGGAAAAACATTATTGGCTATCGACTTGTGCAATGTCTCAAAGTAATAATGGCGCTATAACTCTTGTTTAATCAACATATGCTATCAAGGAGGCTTCAGTCATTGTCAGCCCAAAGTTTGCGTCACTATATGATAGACAGCATGAACATTAATTTTGATATTCAAAATAATAATCCAAATTCTTAGAAATCTACAGTTTATGCCTCGTTCACCACCATATTATGTAAAAATGTAACTTGCATTAAGTGACAAAAATATTTGATTTCCCTGCTCACATCTCTCATTTAAGTTTGCTATCCCTCATTTGTACTCCGAGAGCTTTAGAAAAGATGTGTAGCACAAAACATGAATAGGAAAAAAATTAAAAACACATTTAAAAGGTGAACATAATAGAGCATTACTTCTAAGTGCTTAACCCCTTAGTCTTAAAGAATGAGTTCAAAAGTGACATTTCCATACAAAGCACTTGTTTTAACGTAAGTTTCCTTGAAATCAGAGCTGTTACAAATGCATAATCATTTTAGTTATTTAGCTATGTCATGTCTCACAGTCCTGTCTCCTTCTAGACAGCAGCTGCTATGAGCCACAGCAACCTGTTTCTCAATTGATCACAAAGTAACTGATTGATGTTTCTACTTCCTCCTGTGATCATTTTCTGGTGTGACACTAAGAAACAGAGTATTTGTTGCAATTTCCCTTTTCACTAGAGATCTCTCACATAGGGCTGGGGTGGTGGCCATTGCTTTCCAAAAGACAGGCAAACATGCCCCTTTT